GCTTGAGCCCAGGAGTTGGAGGTTGCTGTGAGCTGTGATGCCACAGCACTCTACCTAGGGGGACAGCTTGAGATTCTGTCTCAAAAAAAAGAGTATAATTATCTTACTGAAAAAAAATTTTTGATGTGGGTGGTGCCTGTGGCTCAAAGGAGTAGGGCGCCAGCCCCATATGCTGGAGGTGGCAGGTTCAAACCCAGCACCTGGCCAAAAACTGGGGCAAAAGAAAAAAAAAAATTTTTTTTTTTTGGATGTTAAAGAGAATCCTCAAAGATTCGGCACTCTGAGAATGGGGCATGGGGAAGACATCTGCACAGGAGGTGGCTCCCTCCTGAGGATGCCCTCAAGGCTGCACCACTCCTGCCAGTACTGACCTGTCTGAAGGCAGGCGCAGTCCCTTCTGCATTTAGTCTGCACTCTCTCTTTCCCTTCACAACCAGCATCCTGCTATGCTGCCCTGGCACAAGGTTAAGACCTTCTCTTGGGATGGGAATATACATGGTCTTGAACACGTCAAAGGTCTTAAACCTGGACCCTTAAACAAGAGTCTTCTTTTCTTTGAGACAGAGTCTCAGTTACCCTGGCATCATAGCTTACAGCAACCTCAAACTCCTGGGTTCATATGATTCTCTTGCCTCAGCCTCCCAAGTAGCTGGGACTACAGGCACCTGCCACAACGCCTGGCTATTTTTTGGTTGCAGTCTAGCCGGGGCCGGGTTTGAACCTGCCACCCTTGGTATATGGGGCTAGTGCCCTACTCACTGAGCCATGGGCGCCACCCTGGCTAGTTTTTCTATTTTTAGTAGAGATGGGGTCTTGCATTGCTCACACTGTTCTCAAATTCCTGAGCTCAGGTGATCCACCTGCTTGGGCTTCCCGAAGTGCTAGGATTACAGGTGTGATCCACTGAGCCCAGCCTTAAACAGGAGTCTTAAGAATGTATAAAGTAGCATCTGAAGCAGAAGTTAAGACGAGTCTGTCCCAGGCATGGCAGTGCCTGCAGTCTAAGCTCTAAGTTTGCCTTGAAACAGCTTGGGAGGGACACTGTGGAGACAGATTGTTAGCAATCCCCAAGCAGAACATGGGAGAGAAAGGTACTCTATAGCACTGCTTGAATTTTAATGTGTGTTTAATGTGTGTCTTTTGTTAAAATGGAGATCCTGATTCCAGAGGTCTAGGTGGGGCCCAAGACTCCTGCATCTCTAACAAGCTGTGTGGTGATGCTGTTGCTGGTGCTGGCATTAGGCTGAGAACAGTGAGGTATAGGTCCCTGAGCTCAAGACGAGTGTCTCCTGGAGAGCTAGCCTGACTAATGGGCAGTGCACGACCACAGAGGTTGACAAAAGCATGAAGTACAGTTACAAGAGGGGCCCCCGAGGAGGGAGGAGCAGCAGCTGTGGCCAGCCCTGCCCTTACACAGCAGGAGGCCAGCAGGGTAGGTGTGGGCAACTTCGCTCAGCCCAGATGGCTTTTATTTAAAGATGTAAAGTCCTACTTAGATGGCAGGTTTGCAGCTGGCCAAACACGCTTACCCCAAGTGGGCTAACCACTCATTCCTCTGCACGAGGTCAGCACCTAAGGGACTGCTGGCTCACTATGAACGGTAACTCTACCTGTCTGGTAAGGCTGCCTCCGAGGTTCATGGTGCCAGAGCCGGATTTGTTGGTCTGCAGCCATAGCATCACCGTGGAAGTCAACTTGTAATGAGCGGTGCGACCACTGGACTTCTCCTGGGGTGGGGAGGGTGAGACAGAGATCAGAACCTTGGATGCAGCCAGATCTGAGTCGAGCCTGAGCCTGAAGTGGCCCCTGGAATTCAGACTCCTTCTAACACGTCCCTTTCTGGGTCATGACCACAAACTACCTTTCTTATAAAATCCCAGCTGGTTTTTAAATGGACAGCACCTGTAATCATGTGTATTAAGTTCTCTTGGGGACTATCATCAACAACTAATGCAAACCTGACTTATCTTTGTCCAAATGGCTTCAGGGCATTTATAGGCATCAACAGGTATTTACAGATCACAGCCCACCCCCTGCACCTGCCAGAGAGTGGGGCCGCACTGCTCCGCATGCCATCCACACGTAGTGGCCCCAGCCACCGGGTGTTGGGGAGGCTGTACCTGCACTTCCACCACGTGGATGGAATCCCAGCAGCCTTTGATCTTCTTGGATCCGTCTCCAGCCTTCTTTATGAGGATCACTCCAGCAAAGCCATGATCCAGATCCCAGAGGTAGACAGATGAGACGCCACCTTCAAAATACCTGCAGGAAATAGGCCCACATGCCATTAGATGTTAAACTGCAGACTATCAGCCCAGGTCCCAGGCTGTCATTTGGCAAAGATTCACCTAAATGTCTGCCTGGAATTAAATGCTCTCTCTGCAACGGGAGGAGATCCTTGGATGTGTTCTGATTGTCCTATAATTGGGGGGCGGGGTGCAGCATCCTTTGGGGGAGACAGAAAGGACACAGGCTCCGGAGTCATAAAGATGAAGTTGAATTCAGGCTCTGCCACTTACTGTAGCTTTGTGGTCCTTGGCAAGCTTTACTAACTGTTGCTGAGCATCCCATTCCCTCCAGATAAAGGATAGCACAGCATGTGACATGAGTGGAGGCCATCACTATTGAAGTGCCCACTGTCACTTAGTATTTCTTCCTTTGTTTTTTTAAAGAGACATGGTCTCTCCTCAGGCTGGAGTGCAGTGGCTCTATCACAGGTGACTGCCAACTGTGGAGCTGGGACTACAGGTGCATGCTACCATGCACCTAGCTAACCTTTGTTGTTGTTGTTGTGGACAGAGACAGGCTCTCATTATATTGCCCAGGCTGGTCTCAAATTCCTGGCCTCAAGTGATCCTCCGCCTTGACCTCCCAAAGAGCTGCAGCGAGCTGCTGTGAGTGAGCCACTGCACTCCCGGCTGGTATTTCTATCTTTTGGGAAAAACACAACTACAAACCCCTCCCTACCTCATCCTTCCAAAGTATGGGCAGAATGGGGGTCCTGCTGGTCTTCTGATGCAACTTAATCCAAACCCCTAGCCAGAAGTGAAAGCTAAGCCTGGACAGAGCTTCCTCCTTAGATCTCAGTCAATGTAAGGTCCAACGGAAGCAGGAAAGAAATGGCTAGAACTGGAAAGGGAATCAGGCTTGGACTCCAATTCTAAGCGCACAAGCAGACTGCTGTGACTGACTGAGGCTGCCATGAAGTCAGCTGATGCAGCACCTCCAATGCTGCCAGTGGCTAGCTATACCCTGAGAGCTACTGTCCCACGGCTGGCACAAGACTGGCACATCCTTTATCACACAGTCTGAGGCCTTAGGGCCACATGTGGCCTTCTGGATTTTTGAGTGTGGTCTTTTAACTGAATCCAAACAAATTCCTACGGATTTGTTCTATAAAGTTTGGATTCAGTTGACAGGCTGCATGCACTTGGGGATCTGGAGGTTCCCTATTCTTGGTGGGGCCTCCCTGATCCCAATTAATCCCTGAATCAAAGATACAGCAGGCACATCCTGGGAGTGTGGGCCGCACAGGGCATGGGATAGGCAGAGGTTTGGGAGTTGGGCAGAGCCGGCATCTATGTGACAACTGTTTACTGAAGGCTGCAGGGGCTGGCCTTACAAACACAATAGGGACATCTACTTTACACGACTCCTGAGATACCAAACAATACGGGAACGCAGAGACCTGCCAAATGATTACTGTTTTCATTATTAAGTACTAAAAATTAGCATGTATCTATGGATTATGCCTTAATAAAGCTGTCATACAACAGCAAAATACAACTGGTAAATGTTAACATTTAGAGAATGTGGGAGAAGTGTATACTAGAATTCTGTGTCAGCTCGGCACCTGTAGCTCAGTGGCTGGGGGGCCAGCCACATACACTGGAGCTGGTGGGTTCAAACCCAGCCTAGGCCTGCCAAACAATGACAACTACAACCAAAAAATAGCCGGGCATTGTGGTCTACACCTGTAGTCCCAGCTACTCAGGAGGATGAGGCAACAGAATCACGTAAGCCCAAGAGTTTAAGGTTGCTGTGAGCTGTGACACTACAGCACTCAATAGAGGACGACATAGTGAGACTCTGTCTCTAAATAATTAATTCTTTGTCTTCTTTTGGAATTTTACTGTTAAGTCTGAAACTATCTCATTAACACGGTTTTTCCTTTTTGAGACAGAGTCTCTGTCACCTCAGCCTAGCTCATGGTAACCTCAAACTCCTAAGCTCGAGTGATCCTCTTGTCTCAGCCTCCCAAGTAGCTGGATTATAGGCTATGCCATGATCCCTGGCTAATTTTTCTAGTTTTTTAGTAGAGAAATGGTCTTACTCTTGCTCAGGCTGGGCTCAAACTTACCAAGCTCAAGGGAGCCTCCTGCTTCAGCCTCCCAGAGTGCTAGGATTACAGGCATGAGCCACTGTGACCAGTCAATAAGTTTTTTTTTTTTTAAGAATGGTCAGTATATGATATATTCCCAAGTCTAACAGAGACAATTGTTGTAGGAAAGCACAGAACCCTGTGAGGGGAATAAGAATCTCCTACCCGCTAGTTAAGATATACAGTGCCCAGGTGTTCTTCTCCCCTAAACTACTGTGGCCCTGCTACCCTCACCCCTTCCCCACCAGAGCCTCCACAGGCAGGCAGAGGCCAGCCCCCTTCCAGGGCTACATCCTGCCCCATTTCTCCATCCCTCTAGCACTACCCACAAGGATTAAACTGTCAAACTGAACTCACAACACTGGCGAGTTGGCTGCAGGAGGGCAGGCCTGCCCGCTAGCACAAGAGCCACCAAGGGGGCATGTGGGGATCTAAGTGTCAGGTGCCAGACGCGGAGCTGAAGGGAGAATAGATAGAAAACACTTGTGGGGCCCAGAGCTGGGTGTTATCCTCGGTGACCTCCAACAATTGGCCAACACAGGCACTCAAGGACCCTGTCTAGGAGATAAATTCTTTTGCTCCAAGTCTCTCTCCAAACAGGGCAGAACAAGGTAAAGGGGTTAGTGTTTGGTTCAGGTCCCAGGGCTCTCCTTGAGACCATCTTAGAGGAGCTGGGTACACATCGCCCACTTTGGAATGCTCCTAGGACATGTGAAGATGTACTGGTCACTTTTGCTGACCTGCGGTTCCCTGGTGCTCAGATGATTCACATCATGGGCTCCCTGAGCCCTTCTGGCTTGTTCTCCTGAATTCTGGGGACCTCCTCAGTCTGCAAATCAATATTACTGGGGGAAAAACACCCACAACAGGCCTGCCAATTGCCCTTCCAGCTGGCAACAGATGGCTCGGTTCTAACACACAGGTTAGGTTTCCCTTTCAGTCAGCTTGTAGGGAGGGCAGCCCCACATCAAAAGAGGGGAAAAAACACAACTTTGAAACTGGCTATTCTTGTGTTGGCAGAAGGGACAGGCTGATAAATCTTTCGCCATCCTGGAACGAACATCCTTCTGTGCTGTTCTTGTTAAAGGCTCACCCTTCTGTGTGGTGGGATCCTGGGGAGAGGCAAGGTCAGGCTGCCCTGGAAGGAAACCAGGAGAAATCCTGGTGGCCTGACAGCCCTGCTGACGCCATCTGGTGACCAGTTCAAAAGCACCAGGTGGCCTAAGGTTGATCCCTTCAGTCCCATCCCTTCTCGTCCTATTTCTTCCAGACAAAGAAAACAACGAACGGCATTAAAGTTTTATAACATGGAACTGGCCGTTTCCACACCAACATCCCACCCTGTGGCCCGGCTCCCACTTTGGGCAGCTTCTCTCTGGCCGGCCACAGTGACCAGGTCTAAAGTTTCAAATGCTGGAGACAAAAGAGGTACAAATGCAAGCTCAACTGTGTGACCTCCTTGTGGGTTACTACTATTCTTTTACCCAAAATTTTAAAATTTATTGCAAGAACATTATTTTTAAAAAGGAAATTTAAAAATTAGCCCCTAATACCATAAATCAACTTATCTCATAAATCTGATTTTTCCAAAATCCCTCCTGTCTTTGTCCAGATGCACAATTTTTATATAACCATAAGCACAGCAATAGTGTCAAGTTCAGCTTTTTTCGCTTGGCACAGACACACTGGCACTTTACCATGGAGCCACCTGATCTCCATAATCATTTTGAACAGTTGGACAACATTCCACTGGGCAGTATCCTAATTTAGTCGATTTGACTTTTAATAAAGGAACGACAGTCACAGAGTTGAGGTAATGCTCTTGGGTCTCTTTCTTTGGATCTGTTCCCTCTCAGAATCAGGGTGTTCCCAACTGAGGTGAGGCAGACATGCCGAGACCTGGCCCCTCAGGTGTGGCCAAACACCGCAACAATTCAAGAATGGACTTGAATTCCATTCACCAAAAGGGATCTCTGGGGACTTGAGCAGCCACAAGTCTCAACCTGATTGTCCAAGACACAGGGAGCAGAGGACTGAGTGATCAGCAAGGCTCCTTTCAGGATCAGAAGCACCAGCCTCTCTGGCAAGTGTTGTGGGGACAGCTCTGAGCACCACTGGGTAGGAGGTGGCTCCGGAGCACACTGACAGTCCCCCTGCTGGGTGGTTTATGGCTCTGTGCTGTGTGTGAAGCATTAATTAAAGAGGGACCTCAACAAGTTTTTGAAAATTTATTTTTACCTACTGTACTTTGATCATAATGACACGAAACAAGGAAAAAAATAATTTTTATGTGGTTCGCATTTATGAGTTTTTACATAAAGGCTTTTGTGGGTATTTTAAGAATGTGCTAAAATGTTGTCTGAAACCACATAAAGCTATCTGAGGAGTCTCCCGCCAGAACTAACAGCACACACATGGAAGCACTTTAACTGGCCTTTGTATATTTAATGAGTCAAATAGTATTAATATTGTTTAAATGCTAACATGCCATTTCAATAAGGTGGCTCTGCCACGGTCAGAGCCTCGCTCTCAGGCCTTGCACGTCAAGGTGAATGAACGATCAGACTCAGGCCCTGGGCAAGGGCTGAGAGCAGGCTGCAGTGGAATCACTCTGCTTGGCCCTGCCCTGCCCTGCCTTGCCTCTGCCTGGCCTCTGCCCACGCTTGCTAACTGCAAAATCCCCACCCAACTCTCCAGGGATGGAGGAGGAGCGACCCAGAAGGACCACCATAGCTCAGCGACCTGGGCTCAGGAGGGAAAGGCCACAGAGTTCCCGTAGAAGTCCCCAGTCAAGTGGGCAGCATGGAGCACCTTTTAAATGCAGAAGCCCAAGGAGAAAAGCATGGGCTTTTTTCAGGCCTCCTACTTGAATAGAAAGTCA